AGTGGTACGGTTGCTCTAGGGGGGCGGTAGTCAAAATGGGAGAGTTTTAGTGGGTTCGCGTCCCACATAACCTGGTGACCCGCCAGGTATCCGTGGGGATTTCTCTTCCGTGGCGAAAACAAAAAAAATATTTCTTTCATCCTCGGCGTGCAGGAGCCGAGGATGAATTGCATAAAATCGCATGAAATCCTGCGCGTGTCACCCCAAATGGCTACGCGTGTCAGCACTGACACGCGTGTCATAGGTTCGCCATCACTGCCCTATACAGACAAATGGCTGTCCAGTCTCTTCTTAAAAACTTCCAGTGTTGGAGCATTCACCGCTTCTGGAGGCAACTTCTTTCATTATTTAACTGTCCTCACTGTCAGGAAGTTTCGCCTTCATTCCAGAATATACAATAAGAAAGTTGGAAGGGACCCCGGAGGTCTTCTAGTCCAGCCCCCCGCTCAAGCAGGAAACCCTATGCCAATTCAGTCAAATTGTCCGGGTCTCTTCTTAAAAACCTCCAGTGTTGAAGTACCCACGACTTCTTTCCAGGATCTGACAGGCTGCATAGCCAGACAGTGTTTTCATCCGAGTGGGGGAGAGAGAAAGCCGTGACTTCAAATGGAAAAAAAAAAAAACTATGAAAGGCAAAAGGGAAACCTGGCTCTTCAGATTGAGGGAGGTTGGTGCCACTGAGGGTACCAAGATGGGATCCGAGACTGGCGGCTCCAATCTCCTGATGTGCATTCATATCAGGGCGAATTGATTTGGGCAAATTGATTTATTTAATAATAATAATAATACATCCACATCTGCCTATCCCAGGTCCTGGGTAAGGACTCGATAGGTAGACAAAATGCCAAATCCAGTCTGAACATCTGGCTGACTGTGCGATGATCGATAATAATAATAATAATAATAATAATAATATAGTTGGAAGGGACCTTGGAGGTCATCTAGTCCAATCCCCTGCTCAGGCAGGAAACCCTATACCATTTCGGACAAATGGCTGTCCAGTCTCTTCTTAAAAACATCCAGGGTTGGAGCATTCACAGCTTCTAGAGGCAGGTTGTTCCATTGGTTAATTGTTCTAACTGTCAGGAAATTCCTCCTTAGTTCTAGGTTGCTTTTCTCCTTGGTTAGTGTCCATCCGTTGTTTCTTGTCCTGCCTTCAGGCGCTTTGGAGAATGGCTTGACTCCCTCTTCTTTGGGGCGGCCCCTGAGATACTGGAAGGCTGCTATCATGTCCCCCCTCATCCTTCTCTTCATTAAACTAGACAGACCCAATTCTAGCAACCGTTCCTTATATGTTTCAGCCTCCAGTCCCCTGATCATCTTTGTTGCTCTTCTCTGCACTCTTTCCAGAGTGTCAACATCTTTTTTTACATAGTGGTGACCAAAACTGGATGTATTGTTCCAAGTATGGCCTTACCAAGGCATTGTAAGGTCTCCTGCTTGAGCTGGGGGTTGGACTAGATGACCTCCAAAGTCATTTCCGGCTTTCTAATCCTGTTGTCAGAAGACCAAGCCGTCCCAGAGCTAATCTTTGCCTTACACAACTGATCTGTAGGCCAGACCTTTCTAAAAAAAGAGCCTATAACCTCCTAGCCCAGGGGTAGGCAACCTTGGCTCTTTTATGACTCGCGGACTTCAACTCCGGCTCAGGAATTCTGGGAATTGAAGTCCACGAGTCCTAAAAGAGCCAAGGTTGCCTACCCCTGTCCTGTGGGATAATCCCTTGCCAGTGCGTGCGTGTGCGTGTGTGTGTGCGTGTTGTCTTTTTTCCAAATGTAATAATTTATTGGGCGCACCCCTAGGGTTGACAAACACGATTGGAATGCGTGAACCTTGGAGGTTGCAAGGTGTGATTGTGCAGTCGGAAGGGCAGGCTGCATTCTTGGGGTTTGGAACAGCTGAAAAGGAAATAGTAGCATCCTGTGAAACCATAAGTCTCTCCCCCCCTCTCCCTTCCCCTCCCCTTCCCTCCCCTCCCCGTGCGGAGGGTGTTTGAAGAACCTGTGAGACAGGGACGCTGTTCGGAAACATTTTGTTTTTTAGAGTCAGGTGCAGTTTTTCAGGTGATGCTGCCTTGAATTGGGTCTTGGATCAAGTTAGATCTTCCTTTCTCTGTCTGTCTGTCTCTCTTTTTCTTTCTTTCTTTCTTTCTTTCTTTCTTTCTTTCTTTCTTTCTTTTTTTCTTTCTTTTTCTTTCTTTCTCTCTCTCTCCCTCCCTCCCTCCCGCACTCTTTCTTTCTTTCTTTCTTTCTTTCTTTCTTTCTTTCTTTCTTTCTCCCTCCCATACTCCTGCACTCCTTCCTTCCTTCCTTCCTTTCTCCCTTCTGCACTCCTTTCTTTCTTTCTTTCTTTCTTTCTTTCTTTCTTTCTTTCTTTCTTTCTTCCTTCCTTCCTTCCTTCCTTCTTTCTTTCTTTCTTTTCTTCATTCCTTTGTTCCTTTCTTTTTTCTCCTTCCCTTACTCCTTCCTTCCTTTCTTTCTTTCCTTCTTTTTCTTTCTTTCTTTCTTTTTTCTCCCTCCAATACTCCTGCACTCCTTTCTTCCTTCCTTTGTTTCTTTCTTTCTTTTTCTTTCTCCCTCCTTTACTCCTTTCTTCCTTCCTTCCTTTCCTTCCTTCTTCCTTCCTTTCTTTCTATTTTCCTCCCTCCCGTACTCCTGCACTTCTTTCTTTCTTTCTTTCTTTCTTTCTTTCTTTCTTTCTTTCTTTCTTTCTTTCTTTCTTTCTTTCTTTCTTTCTTTCTTTCTTGTATTTATATAGCTGGCCCATCTTTCAGCTAAATCTGAGCAGCTCCCAGTCAGACCTTTAAAAAATAACTTATAAAATCGTTGAAAAACAAATACACAGATAGTCCTTGACTTACAACCACAGCTGAGCCCAAACTTTCCATTTCCACTAGATTAGACAATTGCTAAGGGTATTTTGCCCCATTTTACGACTTTTCTCGCCACATTTGTTAAGTGACTCCCCGCAGTTCTGAAATTAATAACACCGTTGTTAAGTGAATCTGGCCTTCCCATTAACTTTGAGTGTCAGAAAGTCACAAAAGGGGATCACATGATGCTACAATTATCATTGATAGGAGTCCGTTGCCAAACATAAGAGTTTTGGTCACGTGACCACGGGGATGCTGGAATGGACATAAGTGTGAAAAATGGTCACAAGTCACAAATTTTCAGTACCGTTGTCACTTCAAAAGGTCACTAAATGAACTGTTGTAAGTCAAGAACTACCTGTTTTCTTGGTAGAGAGCATAAAAGCTCCAGTAATTAATATCATTTATCTATTATATTTAGAACAGAGGTGGGGAACCGTGTCCCTTTTATGACTGGTGGACTTCAACTCCCAGAATTCCTCAGCCAGAGTGCCTGGCTGAGGAATTCTGGGAGTTGAAGTCTACCAGTCGTAAAAGGGCCACAGTACCCCAGCCCTGGTTTAGAAGGAAGCTTTTGTCGCTGTGGCGGATACAGCTTTGAGCTGGCGTCAGTGAGAATTTGTTTGGCTGGTTTCTGTTCTCTGCATCTGCATCCACAACGCTCCACTTCACGCAATTACCTGACTTAAGTTTGAATGGCAGATACAAATCCTTCCTTTTATTTAGATATTGCATTACAATAATTCTCAGCCTGGAAATGATATAAGAATGTTATATATACTATAAAGCAGGTGGGTTGTTTCCTGTTGGCATTTCTTCTGATTCAGAGCGTAGTCATCCGCGTTCAATCAAACTAAAATTGAATTATTCACCCTGTCTTAACTGACACACCGCACAATTGCTGCGAGGGACCATTACATATGAGGAGGAAATCCGTGTATGCTTAAGATCAGCTCTCTGGAGATATACTCCCAAGTTTATGGCGAGAACCAGTTTGATGTAGTTAGTAAGAAGCTAACCTAGAAATCAGGAGAATGTGTTTAGGCGTGAAAGTTGGCTGGGAGACTTTGGGCTAATCATCCGGAAACGGTGAATTCTAATCCCGTTTTAGCCATGAAAGCTGGCTGGGTGGCTGGACCAATCACCAGGAGATGTTCTAGATTTTGGGCCAATCACTAGGAGACAGTGCTAGTTCTGCTTAGGCATGGAAGTCAGCTGGGAGACGTGCCAATCACCAGGCGATTGGGAGTTCTAGTTCTGCTTAGGCATGAAAGTCAGCTGGGAGACTCTGTGCCAATAGCCAGGCGATTGGGAGTTCTAGTTCTTCTTAGGCATGAAAGTCAGCTGGGAGACTTTGTGCGAATAACCAGGCGATTGGGAGTTCTAGTTCTGCTTAGGCATGAAAGCCAGCTGGGAGACTCTGTGCCAATCACCAGGAGACTGGGAGTTCTAGACCTGCCTTAGGAATAAAAGTCGGCTGGGAGACTTTGGCCCAATCACCAGGAGACTGGGATTTCTAGACCTGCCTTAGGAATGAAAGTCAGCTGGGAGACTTTGTGCCAATCACCAGGAGACTGGGAGTTCTAGTTCTGCTTAGGCATGAAAGTCAGCTGGGAGATTTTATGCCAATAACCAGGAGATTGGGAATTCTAGACCTGCCTTAGGAATAAAAGTCGGCTGGGAGACTTTGGCCCAATCACCAGGAGACTGGGAGTTCTAGTCCTGCCTTAGGCATGAAAGTTAGCTGGGAGATGTGCCAATCACCAGGAGACTGGGAGTTCTAGTTCTGCTTAGGCATGAAAGCCAGTTGGAAGACTTTGGCCCAATCATCAGGAGACTGGGAGTTCTAGTCCTGTCTTAGGCATGGAAGTCAGCTGGGAGACTGTGCCGATTACCAGGAGACTGGGAGTTCTAGTTCTGCTTAGGCATAAAAGCCAGTTGGATATCCTTGGCCAGTCATTGGCTCAGCCCAGCCTACCTCACAGGGTTGTTTTTGTAGGGAAGAGAGGAGGAGGAGGTAGGAGTATTAGTTTTGTTTGCTGCCTTGAGTTATGTATCAAGCAATAAAGTCAGGAGCAAGTCTAATAAAGAAATAAATAAAACACCCTCTGGTGCTTTCTCAATGCAGGAGGACCACAATGGCATGGAGGCCGATCTGGACAAAGACGAAGTGTTACAGCCCCAGCAGGGCGAACTCTCAGGAGAAAAACTCCTGACCACCGAATATTTGGGAGTAAGTACAGCAGTCCACCGGGTTGGGATGGTATTGGAGTACGCGGGCAAGACTCCGCAGCCCATAAGCCTTCCCTTGCTCTATTTTCAAAGCAGTGGGATGTGATCCTCTGAGCTTCGAAGCTCCCTGGATCTGCCCTAAGTGCCGATTACCCTTCTCTGTCAATATCCAGCTGGTGATTCCGAATAAAACTTCATTCCCTTTCCGAAAACCATGCCGTTTATTGAATACACGGCACGGTAACGTTGAAGCAAAACTAAGTCTGAGGTTCCCACACCAATTGATAGACTTAAAACAATTGCTTTCCCAGCCAAACCCCCAACCTCTTACGTAATCCATATGAACAAGTCCACTTTGTTACGGGAACCGTCCGCTTCAGATCCACACCTGTTCTGGTGTCCTTGACAAGGCTTCAGGCTCCCACGGTCTGTGGCTGAATTAAAGAAGTTTCGTCTCTCCGTCTATCCACTTGAAAGTAACACCTTCCCCCCGCCCCGCTCCCCCCATCTAAAGGCAAAGTTTCATCCTTGACATGCACACATTCGTAGACCTGGGCTTTCGCAAAGCCCAGCGTGTGGAATGGGGGAAAGAGATGGTTGTTGCCCCAGAGCAGGGGGTCTTCCAACTTGGCCCTTGTATGACTTGTGGACTTCAACTCCCAGAATTGTGGGAGCTGAGGAATTGTGGCTGAGGAATTGTGGGAGTCGAAGTCCACAAGTCATACAAGGGCCAAGTTGGAAGACCCCCTGCCCCAAGTGTTACGTGTTTCATTTGGTGCACAAATGAAACACGTAACAAGTGTCTAGACAGGCCAACTTTCTCCTTTTTCTCACGGCTCTTGGACTTCTCCCTTCCAAATAACTTCTCTCTCTCTCTCTCTCTCTCTCTCTCTCTCTCTCTCTCCCTTTCTTTCAGATCATGACCAACACCCCAAAAGCACGGAAGAAGAGCCTGTCCAGTGTCCGTCACAGTGTGGATGAGCCTCTTCAGAGACCAGTGACCCCCAGCTATCACAGGGCACATTACCCAACGTAAGTCCGGGCAGACCCACCAGAATCTAGAGATGGGATGCTCCCGATTCACGGGAACGTGATTCAGCGAGGAAAAGATAAGTGATGAAATAAAGCAGAGATGACTCAGCACTTATTGTGGTTTTTTTTTTTTTTTTAAGAATGTTCCTTTACAACAGGGGTCTTCAAACTTGGCCCCTTCATGACTTGTGGACTTCAACTCCCAGAATTCCTCAGCCAGACACACTGGCTCAGGAATTCTGGGAGTTGAAGCCCACCAGTCATGAAGGGGGCCATAGTTCCCCCACGCTGGCTGAGGAATTCTGGGAGTTGAAGTCCGCCAGTCATGAAGGGGCCAGGTTTGAAGACCCTTGCATTAGAAAAATGGGTTCCAGAAAGAACATGACGTACAGGTAGTCCTCGATTTAACGACCACAATTGACTTCAGAATTTCTGTGGCCAGGCAAGACAATTTTTTAAAGTGAGTTTTGACCCATTTTACGCCCTGTCTTGCCACCGTCCTTAAGCGAATCACTGCAATTGTTAAGTCAGTCACACGGGGGTTACGTGAATCTGGCTTCCCCCCCTCATTGACTTTCCTTGTCAGAAGGTCGTAAAAGGGGGATCGTGTGACCCCGGGACACTGCGACCGTCGTAAATAGGAGTCAGTGGCCAAGCATCTGAATTTGAATCACATGACCACGGGGAGGCTGCAACGGTCATTAAGTGTGAAAGACGGTCTTAAGTCACTGTTCACAGAAAAAAAAATAACAATAAAGCTATCCAATAATAAAGGATAGCCTTTGTTGTCACCTTTTTTTCTGTGAACAGTTGTAAAGTAGGGGGGATATTAAATTTTGACAGCGCAGCCTCGGGGGGGGGGGCGAGGGGTGTCACATCACTCTGAACACGAGACTTGGGTTGTGGGTCCATTTTTGGCTGTGGGCTGTTTTGCTAGTTTCCCACCTCTGGTGTGAGATCTTTTTCCCTTTGGTTTTGTACCAGAGGGATCCGAACCGAAGCAACCAGTTCAATTGACACCCAGCCAAAATAAGCAAATTAAGAGAGATTGAGATCCAGAAGGAATTTATGGACCGAGAGGCGATGCACCCTACCCTGTTCCGTGAAAGCTCAAGGGCTGAGCAATCGGAGATCTCCAGCGAGAGATAATCCACCTGCTTTTCAACCCTCAAAAACTGCTGCCAGTATTTTATTTTATTTTTTCACTTTTATTGCTGTGTTGTTGCTGTTTTGAAGAAAGCAGGCCTCCTTCCCTGCTCTGTTATTTTCATCTTTAGGGAGCCTCTGTGCTGGGATAGGTTGAAAAGGTAAGCAGGTGTTATGGAGGCTTCGTTTTGTGGCCTCACCTTGTAGCTTTTGTCTTGAGATCCCATTTGCAGGATCCACAGAACTGTGTGGAAGGAGGAGCAGCACTGAAGAGTCGGCTTCTGTACCGGTTCAGATACTGGCCTGGAAACGAGGAGACTGGGAGTTCTAGTCCCGCCTTAGGCATGAAAGCCGGCTGGATGATTTTGGGCCAGTTATCAGGAAAGTGGGAGTTTTAGACTCACTTTCCGCAGGAAAGCCAACTGCCTGACTTTGGGACAATCACCAGGAGAGTGGGAGTTGTAGTATTGCCATAGAGGTGAAAAATAACCATGTGACTTTCGGCCAATCATCAAGAGACCGGGCGTTCTAGTCCTGCCTTAGGCATGAAAAGCAACCATGTGACTTTGGGCCAATCACCAGGAGACTGGGAGTTCTAGTCCTGCCTTAGGCATGAAAGCCAACTGCATAACTCTGGGCCAGTTCCTCTCCCTTCCACCTCACAGGATTGTTGTTTTGGGGAAATTAGGAGCAGGAAGGAGAATTAGGTATGTCTGTAAGCCGGAGTTAGTTTTAGAAATAATGAAGGTGAGAAAAAGATAAATAAAACAATAAATAAATCACCAGGAGTTGGTGAGTTCTTGTCTCGTGGTTGGCATGAAAGCCGGCTGGGGGATTTGGGGCCTATCACTAGGAAACTGGGAATTTCTTCACCCCAGCTAGAGAGGGGGAAAAAAATAATAAAATGGAAGGCACTTTGCATTTGCTGGCTCAGACAAAAAAATATATGCATTGGTGGAAACCATGTCCAATATTTTAAACATGGAAAAAGCAACTTACTTATTCAGGCTTGCTACAGAAAAAAAAAAACCATTGATAAATTTGCTTTAAAAGAACCCACTCGAATGCACAGGCGTCCTTATATATCTGGAAGGCAACCATTTCTATCTTTAAATTAAAACCAGTGGTTTAATGGTATTTAGGTAATACAGGGGAGCAACTGAAAATAGAATCCTAAGTTACCAAGTGCACGCAGAGAGAAAGGATGAGATTCGATTTTTCAATAATCTTACTAGGAAGATATACCCTTAAATGCAGGCTCATAAGGAACGGCTGCTGGAATTGGGTCTATCTAGTTTAATGAAGAGAAGGACGAGGGGGGACAGGATAGCAGCCTTCCAGTATTTCAGGGGCTGCCCCAAAGAAGAGGGAGTCAAGCTATTCTCCAAAGCGCCTGAAGGCAGGACAAGAAGCAACGGAGGGAAACTCACCAAGGAGAGAAGCAACCTGGAACTAAGGAGAAACTTCCTGACAGAACAATTAACCAGTGGAACCACCTGCCTCCAGAAGCGGTGAATGCTCCAACACTGGAAGTTTTTAAGAAGAGACTGGACAGCCATTTGTCCAAAATGGTATAGGGTTTCCTGCCTGAGCAGGGGGTTGGATTAGATGACCTCCAAAGTCCCTTCCAACTTTACTATTATGATTGTTATGATTATTATCTAGTTTAATGAAGGACAAGGGAGGACATGATAGCAGTGTTCCAATATATCAGGGGCTGCCCCAAAGAAGAGGGAGTCAAGCTATTTTCCAAAACCCCTGAACGCAGGACAAGAAGCAAGGGATGGAAACTAACCAAGGAGAGAAGCAACCTAGAACTAAGGAGAAACTTCCTGACAGTGAGAACAATTAACCAGTGGAACAACCTGCCTCCAGAAGTGGTGAATGCTCCAACACTGGAGGTTTTTAAGAAGAGACTGGACAGCCATTTGTCCGAAATGGTACAGGGTTTCCTGCCTGAGCAGGGGGTTGGACTAGATGACCTCCAAGGTCCCTTCCAACTTTATCATCATCATCATCATCATCATCATCATTATTATTATTATTATTATTATTATTATTATTATTATTATTATATTTTAATGTTCTCGGTTTACCCAAAAGATGCAATTTTCTTTTTTTTTTTTTGGAGAGCTGAAGTCCAATTCATAAACCGAAAGAACATTTGGAACACGGCTGGCTTTCCTGACTGAGCGGCATTTTCCAAGCAAAGGGAAATTGCAATTTCCTTTTCAGCTGGGCTTGAAAAAAATCCCTCGCCCTGAGCTAGGGACGGTCTCGCTTTTTAAATTGCATGCATTGCTTTATTTCTTGGTTCCCATTTCCAGAGTGTCAGCTGGGAACCAGAAAGATATGTTTGCAGAGGCTCATTTCATATCTTCAGGGACCCCTGCTCTAGAGAAGCCTTGGGACCTCTGTAGAATTTGCATTGTGGGTGTGTAAGGATTGGTTAATACAGCTTAATATCCACAGCTTAATATTTACGCCAGCTTAATAGCTAAGCTAATCAAGATCAGCTGAAGTATTAATACCACTTTACCAGGCCTTGGTAAGGCCACACTTGGAATACAGCATCCAGTTTTGGTCACCACGATATAAAAAAGATGTTGAGACTCTACAAAGAGTGCAGAGAAGAGCAACAAAGATGATTAGAGGTCTGGAGGCTAAAACATATAAGGAACGGCTGCTGGAATTGGGGATGTCTGGTTTAACGAAGAGAAGGACGAGGGGGGACATGATAGCAGTGTTCCAGTATCTGAGGGGCTGCCCCAGAGAAGAGGAAGTCAAGCTATTCTCCAAAGCGCCTGAAGGCAGGACAAGAAGCAACAGATGGAAACCCATCAAGGAGAGAAGCAACCTAGAACTAAGGAGAAACTTCCTGACAGGTAGAACAATTAACCAGTGGAACAACCTGCCTCCAGAAGCGGTGAATGCTGCAACACTGGAAGTTTTTAAGAAACTGGACAGCCATTTGTCTGAGATGGTATAGGGTTTCTTGCCTGAGCAGGGGGTTGGACTAGATGACCTCCAAGGTCCCTTCCAACTTTATTATTATTAAGCCAGCTTAATATCTACGCCAGCGTTCCTCAACATGACCAGCTTTAAGATGAGTGGACTTCTCGCGCAAGTTTATTTATTTATTTTATTTATTTATGAGACTTATATACCGCTTTAAGTGCAAGCACTCTCTAAGCGTTGTACACCAGTAAGCAATGTATATATATATTTACATTGCCCCCAACAATCTGGGTCCTCATTTTACCTACCCCCAGAAGGATGGAAGGCTGAGTCAACCTTGAGCCGGTGAGATTTGAACCGCTGACCTGCTGAACACCGTCAGCTAAAGTGGCCTGCAGTACTGCACTCTAACTGCTGCGCCACCTCGGCTCATTTAAGTTAGGCCCCAAGCACACCAGCCAGCCACTCACGCTGCCCATTTGGGAACAGGCCATGATGGAGCCATAGTCAGCTGCAGCCCACAGGTTGAGGACCCCTGTCCTAGTGGACCATCACTTAAGGGCAGTGCTTCTCAACCTTGACAATTTTAAGGCATGTGGACTTCAATCCCAGAATTCCACAGCCAGCAACGCTGGCTGTGGAATTCTGGGAGTTGAAGTCCACATGCCTTAAAATTGTCAAGGTTGAGAAACACTGCTTAAGGGTGAGCCAGCAGTGTGCCAAAAAAAAAAAAAAAAAAAAAGCCAATGCAGTCCTAGGCCTGAATAGGACAACTTGCTACGGGACAATTCCATAATTCCATTTAATTCTTTAAAAGAATTTTTAAAACATTTGTTTTAAATGCTGTCGTTCGCCTGTCATTTTCTCCCTCGCCTTTCATCCTGGCATTCTTTCTG